AGTCCTCCGCCAACTCCAGCACCCGGAACACAATGCCCACATCGCCCTTGGCGCTTAACAAAAACTCGTTTTCTGCCCCTTCCAGGGTGCCTAGCTGCCACTCTCCGTAAATCTGTATGTACTGACCTTATGTACACCGGACAGTTTCTACGTTGTATTTACGTATTTTTACGCATTCTTACGCGTAAAAATGTAAGAACTATTTTTACACGTTAAAACGTAAATACGATGAGTTTTTACGGCGTCAAAACCAAGCCTGCAGCAGAGGGACCAACAGGATAAGAATTTCTATTGCAAAAAATACGCCACCGTAAAGTATTCAACCCTTCCGCAGCAAAAAAATACCGTTATGCGCTTTGCTCCGTATTTTCTTCCGAGCATTATTTGTTTGTTTTTGTGTTGCGCTGCAAAATTTTCACCCATTTTTCTCCACAAGATAAGGCCAAGCGTTACGTTACCACGCGGAGGGGCTCAATATTTTGCGGTGTGCGCTGTTTGCAATGGAAAAATGTGGGGCAAACAAGGCGCCCTCGCAAGAAAGCCATACAAAGAGTTGCGTTGTTGGACATTTTGTTTTAAGTACAAGGCCGGACATCCGCGCGCGCTGCGCACCCGCGGTCCTCTGATTAACCCGACGGTGCGATAATGAGCTAGGGCCGAACGAAAATGGTTTGAGTTCATAGTAGAAAGTTGAATGTAAGCTAGTTTAAACATGAGTTGAGCATGTTCAATCGTAGTGATCTTCAATCACATGGATTTGGCTTCTTAGGATGGAAGTTAATTGCACTAGTTAGTGCATCAAATGGTGCTCTTGACGGTGCATAAACTTGTGCACCAATTGCTAGACTATTGAATGGAACGATCGTTGTACAAATCTGTGCATCAACTGATGCCCCAATAGGTTCAGTGATTGCAACATGAGAACGAAGTGAGATTTTGAGCGATGGAACATAATTATTTGGATTTATGTTTTAAGATCTTAGCCATGTGTACTAAGTGGGTGTCATGCACCAAATCGAGTTGGTGCCTTGGGCACTGCACGGTTGGCCTTTGCAACGCTTCCTTTTGCGCCCTGTGAGTAATAGCGTTTCAGTGCCTGTTCAAGATCAAATAGCGTTGAGAATCTATGGTTTGATCAGAAAAACAAGTGGTACCGAATGGGCTTCTTTATAGCTGACGTCCTGTCGTTCTTGGCATGCACCGTGGTGGTGAAAGTGGAGAATAAGTTCTGTTATTATTGTACATTGTTCGTGACATATCTTGTTTCCGTTGGTTATTTCTCTGTTCGTTTAGGAGAGGATTCTCGTTGCCTGTCAGCATTCATTGTGCTTTCCGTTCAACACATTTTTTTCTTAGGCGTTTTTTCATCCGTGTTGATGTGGCACACGAGCGAGCGCCCAGGAGTGAGCACGTTGGAGGGCGCCTGCCACAAGCTATGCACACTGGGAGGGGCGAGGGCGAGGCCCAAGGAGGGGCAGCCCAGGCGCTGGCCGCCAGCGTCTTCGTTGCCCTCCGATTGACCGCCGGTTGACCGCCGATTGGCGGGCGCCATACCAGGCGATCGCCGCTGCGGGTAGCATAGCTGGGATCTCGCGGGGTGCGAGAGCCCCCCCAAGATTGACGCCTCGCGGGCGGCCAATCACGCAGCCCTTGGGGGGCTCGAATGCCCCCCTGCTGGTCGGGCGGTTGGCCGCCCGCGAGCTCTGGAAAAGTCACACGGATCGGCGCCTCGCGGCCGCCGAGTCGCGCCGGCCGCGGCGGCCTGGATTGGCGTCAATAGGCAACCCGAACGGGCGCCCGCGAGGCACCAAAGGAGCGGCCCGATTGGCCCTTACGAGGCGCCGTGGATGGCTGCAATCGGTGGTCGTGAGCAGCGAAAGGATTGGGATGCGGCGATTGGCCTCCCACTCCCCCCCGGCTTGTGACTTGTGCTTGTGGTGTTGGGGGGGTTCTCTGCTGGTGAGCAACGTGGTGGGCCCGCCTTGCTGCAGCACGCCACTGTGCGCATCTCCGGCGTATCTCCGGCGTGGCTCCAAAGGGCCTGGTGGTTTGTTTGTGAAAGGGGCTTGGCATTGTTTGTTTGTGTGGGGAGGCCGCCATACCGATTGCGGGGGCTTGTCAGGCGTTGGTGGCGGTCAAAAAGGGCTCCTCCAATCGCTCCCCTGCCCACCCCTGGCCAACCCCTACAGCAGGATTGCCCACCCAGCCGCACCACAACGAGGCGCGTCGCTGGCGCCCAATCGCGCTGCTGGCCTTGCGTTGAAACGGGGCTGTCTGTGGCGCTGTTGGGATCCCAGGAGCCACGAAACGCGCCCAGGGATTCCCGCCTCGCGGGCGCCCATTCCCGGCTCGTGCGGCGGCCTAGAACGGCATCCGCCGCTGGCGGAAATGGGTGCCCACGAAGCGGGAGAGGCGGCCCCTGATTCACACCTTGCATGCGCCCATTCCCGCCGCCCGAGCTGGTCTGGAGCGGCCCCTACTTGTGGCGCGATTGACCGCTCGCGAGCCGCGAGAAGCGGTGGGTATTTGACGCCTAGCGGGCACCCATTTCTGCTGCCCATGCTGGCCTCCAACGACCTCTCTCGGTCGCGGGAATGGGTGCCCACAAGCCGGAAGAGGCGCCGAGTAATCCACGGGCGCCCAGGAGGCGCGAGCTGCACGGCCTGATTGGCCCCTTGCGGAGGCCCATTCCTGCCGCGCGTGCCTCCTTGGAATGGCCCCCCGAGGTGCGTGAATGGGCACCAGCGACTTGGGAAGGGGGCGGGTCATTCGCCCCTCCTGGCCGCCCTTTCCTGCCGCCCGCCGCCGTGCTAGCCACTCCCCGCTCCGCTCTGCACCGTGGTTTCCAAGCCCGGTCGGCCCATGCTCCTTTGGCTCTCGGGCGCGCCTGGCACTTGGGGTCCGTCGAAGCGCCCTTTGTCATCGGTTGACGCAAACCTCGTTCAAGGTCGACTTGTTCGCGCGACCGCAAGTCGCCTGGCTCCCACCACGATGCGCGCTTTGCTGAGGGCGCCGGCAAACCTCGCTCGGCGCTCAGGGCGAGAGACGCCAATCGCCACGACTCAAAGTTGTGTTTCTCTCCCATGTGCACGGCGCCAGCGTGGCGGGGCGCAGCGGGGTGTGATGGCGAAGGACTTTGAAAAATCCGTGGCAGGGCCCGCTGTCGACGCGGCCAGGGGCTACCGCAGTGCTTTGCTGCAGTAGTGCATGCACGCATGTCGGACTTGCCGGGCGAATATTTTAAATACCGTCGGGTTAACAGTTGGCTTGGAGTGTGATTGGGGGACAGAACTGCATCCCCGGTGCAGAGGTCAAACACACCGAGGGAGGGCTGTGTTGTGTTCCGCACGGTTCGTCCTCGTCTTTTCCGCCGTCTGGCTTTGTTGGCACAATGATGGGCTCGCTGTCCCAAGGCCTGCGGCGCCTGTCGCTGGCCACAGTTTCCCGCCGCCCCGTCGTCACAAACTTTTCGTTCTCAGCGGCAATGAGAGGCCAAGCACTGTCAGGCAAGGAACGCATCACCCACTGCACACATTGAACTCAATCCAAGCGCAGCAAACCTTGGCTTTACTCGACACCGCCCGCGGCCTCCTGTGCTTACCTTTGATTGTGCGCGCAGTACCCAATGTCTGGATGCCGCACACAAGCCGCCCATGAGGGCATTGGTCAGAGCATTGTTGGCCACTTGGCAGCCGTTTGGTGGCCGGACCGCCGGGTGATTGTTTCTTTTGCTTGCGCTTGGGCGCAGTGTCCCGACGGCAGATGGTGGCGACGGTGTCTGCGGTGAACGTCGAAGCCGCTCAGAATTCCGAGAGGCGGCAGCGGCGGTCGGAGAAGGAGAGGGTCAGGAACAAGGCCAAGAGGTCGGCGGTCGCGACGCGCATGAAGAAGGTGACTGCCCATCGGGTGTGATGAAGGAGCCAGAGTCAGTTGGCCACTATCAAGACAGGTGTCTTGATATTGGCTGACTGCAGTTCCCGACCTGTTGAGTTCCCCTCCGGCATTACGTGTTCCTGGTCGCCGGCTGGTGCGCATCCTTTGATATCCTTTGTCGGGGGCCCTTTGCCCTGCTCATTTTCGCTCTGTTTGGACACTGGGCGCATTGTATCCTACAACTCACAGATGTCCAGCAAATTTGGTGTTCTCCATTCTCCCCACCGGTGCATTCTCCAGTGACTCTCCATTGCCAATCCTCTCCCCATGGACGTTTTTGGTTGTAGGTGACGGTGTAATCGCCTCCCTGGCGGTACAGAAAGGCCCTGAACAGTGCAAGGACAAACAGTGCAGGGACGAACAGTAGTGTTGGGATTCACAATTTTATTGACATCCAATTACCTCCCACCCATCCCCAGCAGACCAAATCACATCAGGGGGATGAACACTGGCATAGTCTGTCTGTTGACCAGGGAGGTGTCGAACTGAGGCATGTCAGAGGGGATAAATTTCATTACGTTTATGGCAACTGGGCGGGCCTTTCCTGTTGAATGGGGGTGGAACTGCACCAATTAGAATGATGCTAGCAGCATCCAAAAGCCATTCGCAGTCTGCATCGGTTTTGTGTCTCAATGACTGACTGTTCAGCTCATATTGGTGTTCTGCCAACATGTAAAGTGCCATCCTCCCATGTGTCAATTGTGCTCAGGTTCGATGGACCATCAAGGGCCAAATGTAGTATCGATTGACATGAAACCAGAAGACAGCCAGAAAAGGGCAAGGTACCCACCATCCTTTTTAAGCGGACAATGCTGCCCTCATTCTGTGCTAGTGTTGATATTCCCTTTGAAATCCGAGTGCCACCAACAACAAACCACCTCACCATGGCACCTGCTAGTGTTGATATTCCCTGTGAAATCCGAGTGCCACCAACAACAAACCACCTCACCATGGCACCTGCTAGTGTTGATATTCCCTTTGAACTCCGAGTGCCACCAACAACAAACCACCTCACCATGGCACCTGCTAGTGTTGGTATTCCCTGTGAAATCCGAGTGCCACCAACAACAAACCACCTCACCATGGCACCTGAACTCTCAGGCGTGAACGAGTAATTCATTGGTGTCTCATTCTGAAACACTAAGTGCACCGTGGCTGAAAAGAACACCCACCCCATTCCAGGCATTGGACAAGTCAGTTTTCCACTCTGCATCGCAGTACTGCAGGGGGACCACTGCTCCATTTCACAGTCGATGCCTGTGTGCCCCGCTCTTGAACCAGGTGTTCAAGGCGCTTGAAGCTTTCAGTGACGATCCCCCAAAGACCGAAGCCGAGCTTGAGCCAGTGGAGACACTGATCTCTGAGGCCTTCCAGGAAATCGACAAGGCATGGAGCAAGGGTGTGCTGCACAAGAACACCGCGGCCCGCCGCAAGTCGCGACTGTCACGGGCTAAGAACAGGGTATTGGCTGATGCCGGCCTGCTGGCAAATGCCAAATCGGAGGCAGTGGCAGCATGACATATGTGGCTGGCAATTGTACACCTCAGGAGCATCATGACTCACACAACAATAGTGCTGCCGTTTGGCGCCCTATATGTGGCTCACAGTGCGGCCAGAATTGAGGGAAACGAGCACGTGCGCTGTAATCATCATAGCTGAGAGGTGTGCGGGTGGGGCAGGTAGGTGGTTGGTAGGGGGAGGAAATGTCAATGCTGTTTTGGTAGACACAGAATTGTTGAGTGAATTGATTTATGTGGTTCTCGTTCTGCTGGCGGTGTCAGCTCGGTGTTGAAACCATTCCGCATGATAAAGAGATGCCCAAACCAAGCCTTTGTGTGGATGGAAGTTCCCTATATGTTTCAGCAGCAGATGCCACCGAGGGGCATGGTTGTTAGATGCGTCCTCGCACGAAGGGATGCGTCAAATGCCTCGTGTTCTGGGTTCCAGCACACATGCTCCAGGGGTTACACGGGTACATTTGGCTCGTTATAACAGAGCATTGTACCTAAGTTGCAATGCCGGGCGTTGGTCACGCCCAAGTGTTCGTTCCCAAAGTGCTTCGGTGCCTCTCGCCACGGAACAGCCACGAGAACTGAGGCTCGTTTACCAAAGAAGAACATTCCTTTGGTTGACAGTGCGGCGTATTTGTCGTGCTTCAGGTGAGCCTGGCGTGAACGCGGGAGGAGTCCGGACCCCTGGTCAGAAGAAAATGCCACGTTGGCCGTGCCAACTGTGAGACCTTCTTGACATTCATTATTGCAGTCTCGGTTGCTTTAATGCCATTGCAATCATTATCACAGCGTCGTTCAATGTTAGAGTGGGGTCACAGTTGACACCGCCAACTGATGTCTTCTGCTGGTGTGTGGCATTGACATTGTTCGAGTCATTTTCACGTTGTTCATTAAAACCACCGCTGCTGCCGTCAGATGCTGCATGTTGATGACAAGCGATTCCCTGGGATCTTCGAAACTCTCGCGCCAAGAAATCACCGAGTGGGATGAGCCGATCGTGCCGCCGAGCTGTCGAGCTACAAAATTCAATGTCAACCACACGTCCACAGCTGACAAACAGTTGGGCTCTCACCAAGAACCACGGAGTTGAGCTTCGGTGGGGAAGTTCAATGGAGTCCGAAAGCGACATGCAATTCATGGAACCACGTGAACTGATAATGGGACATGCGTTCCGATGTGTACTTTCATCATGTATCGGAGCCGTTCCAGAATCAAGAGGAACAATTGCAGGCCTAAAATCGTTTGGATTTAGCTGAAGCGTTTGGTGGGAAAATTAAACCATGGTTGCTCACATCACCAGCGCGAACATCGATCGTGGATGGACCATGTCTTCCGAAAACTCTGCGAAAGTTAGTGACCCTCAGCCTCCAATAGCACGGTTGGGTGTTGCACAGCTTCAAAAGCAATGAATGCGACGGTCAGCAGCACAATTGTGGGGAAAGATTCATAGAACCAGGGTCCATCGCAATTCTTCATGGTCTTCAAACTATACGCCGCCGCAAGAGACACATTCCCTAATTGAAGATGGTCAGACCCATCATAGAATGTGCGCACCGCTCAACCATCACATTGGGCACCGCGCCAGGGGCATGAATCTGCACAGTAGTAATCCCTGGACAACAGCATTGTCGTCAACCAGGATCACCTGGTTGATTGAATGTCGTAAGTACCCGGTATGTAAATTTGACGCGCTTCCGAACACGCAAGTACTTTGTCGAAACATACTGCTGCAAGTACATGCAAGTATGGGCATGACAGCGGTGGGAAGTCTCACGTTATTCTTGTGGTACCCATGATTTGGTTCTCAGGGCTTGTGTTAACTTCATATCTTGGGATGTATCTCGCGCTGCTGATGTGGATCGCCCTACATCCGAAATTCCACGAACCACCTTGCAGAAAGACAGAACTCGGCATTCTCTCGGGATCTGGTCAATCGGAACCCAGGCTCCCCGCAATCAACAATCTTTGGCTGAACGGCTCATTTTGCTCGATTCAAACTGTGAGTAAAGCGTTTGAATTGCGTTGGTAAACAGTGAAAACGGCTCCTCGGTAAATGCAGGGCTCATCCGATGTTGAGTGTTCGAGGCCAGCCTTATTTCAATGTGGCATTCTATGCAGTCGAGTAACCAGGCGGCATCGTTGTAGCCAATCACGCAGTTGAAGCGCAAACGACATCAAATGTTTTGCGAGGCCGCATCTTATGCTTTCACACGTGATGAGCCGGTGCCTTCGCGTTTGGCTACCTTCCCTCCAGTGTCTTTAGGCTTCAATTCAATGGCATTTGAGAGCATTCTCTTGAACATATTCAAAGAATTTCGCCTTCTGACGACGTCAGTGACCGCTTGTGGGGACACCTTGAGAGCGCGGGCATCTGCCGGTCTCATATGTGTATTCAACATCCCCGCAGCTCCACGCTTGCGAAACCCCTTTATGCATCGTGCATGCTATGCCCAACTTCACATGTGATATTTGATTCAAGGTGCGTATGGATTGCCAGTGTCTTTAAGGACCTGTCCTTAAAGACAGGCTGTGGCCTCGCCGTCGCCGTGCCCACTCGGCGGGACGGTTCCTTGCAATGCGAGTTGCGTGCGGCACAGAACGCCTGAATTTCAAATGAAGAACCTGTACGGCTAGATCAACGCCATGTGTGACGATTGAATATTTCGCGAAATTGTATTCATCTGAATGGAAGGGAGTCTAGGGTTGTGACCAGTGTCAGTTTGGCAATAGCCTGCAGTGCTGATGCGCTTGCCGCCATACGGTGGATCGACACCCTGGCCTGAAGTGCTATCCAACAAAATGCTTTCGCCATACAGACAACAAGTGGGCCTGGCCTCGCTCATGTACATTCAATGTCCGTTGCAGCGATCCGCAGTTGCATCGTCAATGTGAATCAGCTTCCAGTGGCTGCCCCCCGCGGTCGGTCTTTCAGACAGCGACCGAGCAAACATTTCAAGAGCTAACCTCTTGTCATCATCAAAGGTAGGATGTGCCCCATTTTCCCAGCAGTCGGCCGTACAGTTAGTGGCCAGGCCACAAGGCGAGACATTCTCTTCGATCCCCAGGAGGATCCCCCGCAGACAGTGAGGTCTGTAAGAGACTCCCTCGCGTTTTGGGCTCATTGCGCATCGAATGACTGGATCCATTCAAGCAACCCCTTGAATGACCCGATGCTGGCTCGCTCGGTCTTCCTACCTTCCAGCATTACGAAAGGCCCGACACCCCCTTTGTACAAGGGGGGAATGGAACATGTTCCATTTCCAAGACACCCCTTGCGCGGACGCAGCCCGTCGATCGCGGCATGCAGCATCACTCCGCAGTGTCACGCGCGTTTTGACACGCCGCCTAGATGAACAGGGATTGCAGCACAGGACTGGCAATTCGGCGGAGAACAAAAGCAGCATTCCTACACAGGAGAGGGCTCTCGCTCTTTATCGGAATAGCAGATCTGCTATTCCGATAAAGAAACGAAACATTGTCTCCGCCAATTGCCAATCGCCCAATCCCTGTTCCCGGCCCTCGGTGAGCATCTGTGGTCACCGTGTGGGCAGACAGAAATCTCCAAGATACACGTATGGCGACTCTGCGCAAAGCGGCCTCCATCGCCGTCATGGTTGGGGTGGCGCTTTCGATTGTTGTGCCGGCCGGCGGCCATGCGCACGACTACGCGATGTCACGGCAGCTTCTGCAAGGTGGGGCCCGCGCATGCGGGATTGCGCAGCCCGATCGATCGGGGTGCAGGCAATAGTATTGGTGATGTTTCAGTATCACGTTGGTGCCCATCAATTGGTGGAAACTGCGCGTTGCGGTGTCTGCGCTCACCGGTGGTTTCAACACGCATTCCAGTCGCAGAACTTCATGGCCAGCGTGCATGTTGCCATTTTGTGGTTGTTGAATCCATTCTGGGAATTGAATAGCAGTTTACACACTAGCTATCCGGGGACGGCTGGCCGTGATCTTGTCCCCCACTGTCAATGATACAGTGCACAGGGCTTTCGCTGCCGTGTGTGCGTGCATGCTGACCATTCGGAATGCACAACTGTCCTATCCTTTCAATTAACCAATGGCGCAACATGCTGTGCTCCCATTTCGCTCGCAGATTTGACAAACGATGAGAGCATACAGAAACTGGAGTATCTTCTCCACATGCTCAGATCGGGACTCCTGGAAATGAAATTGACGTCGCAAAACAATGGTACGAGGAGGCCGTTTCTACGGCTTCAGCACATGCAGTCCCCATGTTCCGAAGATTCTTGACTTGAAATCACTCTACTGCGGCTACTATTGAATGCATTCAGCATAAAGGGCACATTCATTTGCAGACTCCTGCTGTTGAAGAGTGCCATCTCCTTCGCGTCCCCTGGCAAATCACAGGTCTTTCCCACCACAGGATTGATCCCCTCAGCTTGAATAGAAATAGTCCTATCGCACCAGTACTCTGTGTTGTGCCCCTTCAACAATATCAGTATCCCAAATATGCTGAATGAATTAGTCTCATAGAGCAAATAACGCCAACGACACGCGACAATGGCATTGGCTACCGCGCAGTCAGTAGTCCTAAGCTTGAAGGACAGAGAAAGCAAAAAGAAGTAACCTTATTTCTACCACCCTCAACAAGCACACAGCAGCCATAAACTTTTATATTTTCAAAGCGTATTTTCTACCTAAGTGTGATTAGCTTTGCTGCATTGTGAATAAATCAGCGGCAAATCATGCAGCCAAATCATGTGCTTTGGCCCGTCTTGTTTAAATAGTAGGAGAGCTGTGAAGTACGACCAGCCAGGCCTCCCCCACCTCCCCTTACAACTGGAACTCGTGTGTTCAAGTCTGCAGGTCCACGGAACACATGTAACGCCTTCAAACGCATCTCAATTTGTCAGCAATATGCGCCGCACTCTCACATCCCGTACGTGTTCCAAGCCAGATAGTTCAGCAACAGGCATACCATCAATGTGATATCGCAAGCACACCTGGCGATCAAATATATGTATCGATGTCAAACAGGTA